ACACACACACACACGATGGACGAAGCCAAACGCAGCGGCAAAGTCAATGAAGCAGATGACCGTTGGTTGCTGGTAGCTATGGCGAAATTCAAGAATCCGTCCCAGTGTGAAGATCTTGTCCGCACATCCGCGCCCAGCGCGGAATCTGGATTGGTTGGACCACATCCTAGAGTCACGCACAGACTGGAATCACTTGCGAAGAACAAAAGCGAAGATACTAACAGCAACGTTGATAAGAGCTTTGCCACGGTAGTTTGCGCATCTTATCCTATCTCCCTTCTTGTAGACTGGTACAAGGATGCCGGAGCCCTAGTCATCAAGAACGGCTTAGTCTCTCCACGTTAGTCCAATCAACTCAAGAAGCTAATGAGCCAGAGTGTGGACACAAGACTTGTAGATTTCAGCGTGAATACCATCATCGTCGCACGTCTTTTTGTTGCACAGATTCTGCATTTCATCGGCAACTTCGTCTTCGGAAGGGAGATCGCACGACACTGCATAGGCTGGAGAGGGTTGACACTCCGCTGCGGAGGAGAGGAAGTGTGTGATTGGTTTCTCACGTTCGCCATGTTCCAGTGCCGTCATTGGGATTTGCAACATCTTCTTAGGCAGTTGGTGCGTCAGACCTCAGCCCTCCGTACCCTGGCAACACTGTCGCTGCTGGTCCGCAATCGCATATTCGTCAGACCCAGGAGTCTGCTTATTTCGCGGCTAATCTTCGCTGAAAGCCGTTCCACTATCCGCCACCTATGGACGCGCCAGGTAGCCAGCAGCTAGGCTAGCGGGTAATCCGCCTTCCGCCTAAGGGAACTGACAGAGGTGGCTGGTCTAGCGTGTCTCTGCGCCTAGGGGTGATACAACACCTTTCTCAGGTGTAGCAGTTGCTATGGGTGCGCTATCCAGTTTAATGCCTGCCGTTTCCTGATCTACCCCCCATGTTGGTTTAACTTATCTACTTTGTGACACATTGTGGGAACGCAAGTAATTTGTAACTACCGATTTCTTCCCGACCAAATCGAAAGATGTTAACCAGAGAGCTGGCATGCTAGTTTACATCAGTAGAATGTTCCATTTGAAAGCTAAAGTTATGGAGTTCAGACTTAGCGCAGTGTATCTTCACTGTTTACCAACGTACTGGTAGTTGAAACCATAGAGTACCTATGTGATCTCATACGGGAAACAAACTACCAGATAGGGATGACAGTGGAGATGCTGAAAGAACTACTGACGTGCTGTACACAAAATGTACAGTTTCTCTGTAATGGCCTGCTATACAGGCAAATAGACGGAGTGGCAATGGGCTCATCACTTGGACCATTCCTCGCAAATGTTTTCATGGGCAAGATCGAGGAAACGAAGCTCAAAGACACTTTTCAATCGTAAAATTGGAATTTTCGCAAAACTAGGAACAGGAATTCCTGCAAAATCAATTGAAATTCTTGACTATGCTCTTATGTGGAATAATCAAAGGGAATGCGGGTGCAATTCTGTCCGGCATAACACCTAATATCCAAGTATTACTTGCTGACAATGCTCACATTTCCACGATGAGTAATCTCACAGAAAAGCGCGTGCGACTGATTCCCACGCTACATGCCATGAGCGTGCACTCTACAATGTTCCGCATGGGCCGTGGCCACAGTGCTGTCTGATTGGTAAATGTTTACGGGAAATTGCTCGACTCTTCTACAACTTGCTCTTAAAGTTGATTGGACACAATATAGCCAATGTGAACAGGATGCTATAAATACGCACAGCTATTAAATGAGAAGGATTTGCAGGTTTTGTATGAGTTTGATCTTGGCCGATCATATTCTCTTTCTCGCTCTCGTGTTGGCGATTGAGACAACAGTCGAGCAAGTAAACGTTTCTTTTGAATTTTAAGTACAAGGCCGAGTAATAAAAATATTACAACGCCCTAGTCGATTTGCCTATGAACAAGTTCTGCTACCCCAAAATGCCTCAGGCTAGAAAAGTACATCTACTTAAATACAACACAGTGCTGCCACGGCTTTTTATTCAGCATTTACAGTACCTTGGGTTTGAAAGAGAGAATGGACGAAATAGTCTACTTATTTCAGCCATTGGGAAAAAGCAGGATATGTTGGACACGTCCCATTTAAAAACTCTTCAAGTCAGACGCGTTCGCTGTTTTTTTCTTAAACAAATGCGCATTCTTACAGATATAGTACCTTCTTCGGGAGATGTGGCACTTAATCTGTATGATTTCATGAAAACCTTCGATGGAGGAGGAGATCACACCACATAATGGCCAAAATATACTATGATGCACTGGAAAAAACAATTACATGAGAAACGATTAGCAGACAGCGATCTAGACACATTTTTAAGGAGCCATAACATAACATTTATGAAGCGAAGTATGTTAAAGTACACATTTCCTGGTCGTCTGTTATAAGAATACCCATTGCTGTTGATCAAAACCGGACAATCAGCTGTCAGTGTTGTAGCAGTGAAAATCAGGAAAGTGTCATAGTTGTTTTACTAGTCTCATTTTAGAGCAGTGTACCTCAACGTAAGTCTTGCAAAATCACGAGGATTATTTACTCTGTCAGCAGTAGATCCTGTATCTCATGCAACGTCAACCGAAATTCTGGAAAGTGTTTTCTGTTCAATAGGTTAAGGGGGTTGTAACACTGACTATCTTGCGGCCTAACCCCAAAATACTTCAGTCGTATCAGAATGCTCGCGTTTTCATACCGGGCTTCTGTCTGACCGCCTGCAAATAACATACTCTGTAAAAAATGTTCTTAAGGTAACATGCTCCCTTCTCATTGATTTTCAATGCACTTATAAATTCAAGCATATTTTAGAGAAAATATTCACAAAAATATTCCGTCTTGTACTCTTCGAGCAGCAACTTACGCCCTCATATTTGACACTCGACGTTGCACTTGTTTATAGATAGGGCCCCCAGTCCATAAACAAGTGCAACGACTTGCCTAATCCATAGTTGGTGCTAAGGCTCAATTTGGCCAAAGCAAGTTGACACTTGGGGAACGCACAGACCACCGCGTTGTCTTACGCAAACACTGAGGAACCCGATGGCCGAGCAATCACCACGTCCAATTCCACCACACGTGATGAAAGTTCAGCAAGTCAGGGCCCGCATGTCGGTAATCAAGCAATCAAAACACATGAGGACAATTATTGTTAATTGTATTTATTTGTCGTATGTATGCAATGATGACTCTGTCCTATAAATACTGCAACTTTCTGTGCATATGTTACCCGTTTCTGCTATTGCTTTCTGTTCATGTCTCTGAGGAAGAATACGCGACGGATCTCGAAACGTCAGGCGAATAAAAGTGTTGTCTCAACCATCAAATCTTCTTCCCAATTACTTCCTCAGACTCGTATGTTCGCTTGTATTGATAATTTATGAGGACTTTTAAACCCGACTAGTGCTATATAGGTGAGTCGGTGCATTTTCATCCTGCGAAAGCGATCACAACAGAAAAAGGAGTAAATGCGATGACCACAGCTCCACACCATTCAAATTGTTACCGTTATCATTCAGCAAAATTAACCATTTCTGCTCTGGGCTCCATATAGACATGAACAAAATCTCCATCTACTTACACCATATAAAAACTCGCTCAGAGCGAAGATATCCGGCCGCTTGACCAGTCAATCCATCTCAGTCACATTCGACTCCAGTGAATGTACTATCCCATGAGCTGCTTACCGAAATGCTAAAACGTGTTTTGATCCACATAGGTTACTTCAGTAGATTTGTAACATAACATATCGTACAGCATGTTCAGTCACTTCGGGATGCAGACATTTGAACGAGTTTTCTTTATAACAGCCTTCAAAAACTACACGCTGTGAAAAGTAACTACTTACCTAGTATACACTTTATTCCATTAGTTTTCAAGGCCCTTATAAATTCAAAGACTTGTTAAATATGTTCAAAATTATTATTTATTGTGGTCATTTGGTAGCACGATACGTCTTCTTCAAATTTTATTCTTGGCAAAAGCGCATGTTTCGGTCTTAAAATGTTTTTAATTGTAAAATAATGTTTAACCCGAACTGCTATTATACACGAATTCAGCGTATCTAAATTTTACACTGCGTATTTTCTGTATAATGAGAATCTTGCATTTATTTAGGCTATTAAAAAGAGGCAATACAGAGCTCGTAGACATTTTCACAGACTGTGGAACATATGGTATACTTTACGAGCAGCAGTAACAAAATTTCTGTCACGAAGTTTTATTACTGGACATTCTAGGGCCTTAAAATTGCATAAATCTGAAATTGCTCAAAAATGAAAGCCACTCTTTCCTGGAGTAGCGCATTTGAGCAAGATGTAATTCGCTACCAAACGGGCACACGAAAAACTATTTTGCACATATTTTCTGTAAAATATTTGAATTTGTAAGGAAACCGAAAAGCAATGACAAAATGCATACCATTTAAGTTGTTATATTCTGCCGATGGTGGCCTAAAAGGAACTTGTTAAAAAACCGGTGTCATGATGAACCTAAAATATTTAGAGATGCTGCTGTCGCCAATTGTAGTAATGTTAACCGAATAAGCCGAGATGTCACCGCCTACTTACGCCTTGATTGAACTCCCAAGGAAAAACGCAATAAGGGGCACAAAAGCAGAAGTCTTTTAGCATACCTAGTACAGCGTACTTATAGCAAGCAGAGCGTACAGATTGGAACAATGAGATGATTCCCTCAAGAGAGAGGTAATATGCTGAGTGGTTTTCGGGTTGAACAGAGTGATAGGGCAGAACACTAATAAGAGCCGGTGGCTAGATCTCATCACTACTACGACTTGTACCGATAGATATTGAACCGTAGGACGAGTGATCAGGTAGTGTGATAACGTGTCATAAGGGCTGTTGGAGGGGCTCAAGATGGAGCTCCAAGATACAATGGGACGAGTGTGCCATAAGGCGATCGGTGAGTGTCCTAAGATTTATAAACAACGCGTGCTAGAAAATCAATAATTTCTGTAAATATTCCCATCCACCACGCCGATCTCGCCCATTAACACGTACAGTAGTCGCCGTTTTTGACAGTTATGATTATCTACTTTGCCTAAATACATACAGTAGTCGAAAGAAGCCATGCAATTTTCATAACTTTGTATAAGCGCAGTAGTCGCCACAGACCATGCAATTTTCATAACTTTGTATAAGTTTGATCACACAGGCCATGCAATTTTCATAACTTTGTATAAGATTGATCATTACTCGAAGATACCATGCAATTTTCATAACTTTGTTTAAGTTTGATCATTACTCGAATACCAAAGTGAATGCATTTAGGAAGATTTAGAAATAATAATGAACTGCATCAGGCATATCAGGTACTTCAAAGAACTAAAGGAATTACTAAGTGTTCATAGAGGAATATAAAATTTTCTCGATAATGCCGTGGTTCTAGAGACGTCAAAAAGA